ACATCGGTCATAGGGACACCACCCTGCCCTGTCCATTGCTCATTTAGCTCTCTTCCCAACTTAAAGCAAAGAATTTAGTAAATACAGTGGGTTTTTCTATGACTAGAATTTCTCAAGTGTTAGTGGAGAACAGTATTTCTAAATAGTAGAGGAAATAGGCTGTGGTTGGCCATGTATTTCGCTTGTATTATGATGAAAAGTTTTTTTCTGTGCCCTCATCTTATAAATTGTTGGGATACCCATTTCTGATTAAGCTAGTTGTGTGAGGCGCTTTTTCCTTTCTCATTCACTTAACAAGTAGGCTTAAACTGTTTTACTTATGTTTGGCTCTTTTTTAATAGAGAAAACATGGAGACCCTCACAGGTCCTCGCTGTAAGAGAGCTACTGGCAAGGGCAGAAGTGGTGAGCAGGGAGGAGGTGGGTTCCAGGCAGGACAGTGGCCTGCGGGGCACAGAGACAGCACTGAGCACAGGCGCCACTGGTTTGTCAACAAGGAGTCCCAGGCCACTTGCAGTAAGTCAGATAATAAATGTCCTCAGTGGCCTGAGTAGGAAGCAGCCCCACTGTCCTGTGTGTCATGGAAGGGCTGTAAGCCCCGGTTTTGTCTGGCCAGTCCCACCACGACCAGTGAGGCCAGCAGCAAGGTATTCATCTTCTCCAAGCAGCCCCAGCCAGCCTGGGCACTGGGCTGACTAAGGGCAAGTGCCCTGGAAGCCAGGCGCCTCCATACCAGGGGAAGCCAGGGCTCCCACGTGCCCCACACCCGGGACAGCCAGGTCTCCCTCTTTGTGTTGTTTAATTCTGCTGGTTTTGGCAGATGTACAATATCATACATCCACCATTACCACCCAGAATAGTTTCACCCCCCTGAAAATCCTGTGTGTTCCATCTATTCACCTCTCCTTTCCTCCTTATCCCCTGGCAACCACTGATCTTTTTATTGTCTCCATAAAATGTCACATAGTTGGAATCATACAATATGTAGTCTTTTCAGATTAGCTTCTTTCACTTTCCAGGTTAGCTCCTTTCACTGAGTGATATGCATTTAAAGTTCTTCCACATCTTTTCATGGCTTGGTAACATTTCTTTTTAGCACTGAATAATATGCCATTGTGTGGATGCACTACTGTCCTTTATCTTTTACACATAAGGACATCTTATTTGTTTCCAAGGTTTTTTCTGGGAATTAGAAACGTTTGTGTGTGGGTATTTGTGTGGACATAAATTTTCAACTCATTTAGGTAAACACCAAGGAGTGTGATTGCTGGATCATCTGGTAAGATCACGTTTAGTTTTGTTAGTAACTACCAGACTGTCTTCCAGAGTGGCTCCACCAGCTTGCATTCCCCCCACAGTGAATGAGAGCCCCTGTTGATCCATGTGCTTCTCAGCATTTGGTATTGTCCGGGTTTTGGATATTTGCCATTCTACTAAGTATGTAGTTGCCTTGGGTTGAATGTCCCCCCAAAACTTAGTCACCACTGTGACAGTGTAAAGAGGGTGGGAAGTCCTATTATGGTAATTGAAAGGTGGCGCCTTGAAGAGGTGATTACATTATAGGACATGCCGTAGAGAATGGATTAATACTGGTGGTCGGGGCGTGGTTCTGAGGGCTTTAAGAGGAGAGAGGGGGGAGTCTGTCTTTGTCTCTGCGCCACCACTTTTGCACTGTGATGCCTGCCGTCACTGAAGGCACTGCCAAAGAAGGCCTTCACCACATGCGCTCCCTGGACTTAGAAGCTCCAGCCTCTGAAACTGTAAGCAATAAATTTCGTTTTCTTACAAAGTACCCAGTTCCGAGTGTTTTGTTATAAGTAATAGAAATGAACTAATACAGTAGTGGTATCTTACTGTTGCTTTAATTTGAATTCTCTAATGATACATGACAATGAGCATTTTTTCATACGGTTATTTGTCATCTTCTTTGGTGGGGTGTCTGTTCGGATCATTTGCCATTTAATTTAATTAAATTAATTAATTTATTTTATTATATTATATTATTTTATTTTACTTTACTTTATTTTGGCGGTTGGCTGGTACAGGAATTGAGCACTGGACCTTGGTGTTATCAGTACCACATTCTACCCAGCTATGCTAACTGGCCAAACCCACCCGTTTTTTTAACTGGTTGTTCATCTTTTTATTGTTGAGTTTTAAGAATTCTTTGTATATTTTCAATAATAGTCCTTTGTCAGATATGTCTTTTGCAGATATTTTTCCCAGTTTGTGGCTTATCTTTTCATTCTCTTAACAGTGTCTTTTGCAGTCCCTAAGTTTTAATTTTAATGATATACCACCAATTTTTTCTTTCCTGAATTGTGCTTTTGGTATTGGATCTAAAAACTCATTGTCAAACCCATTGTCACCTAGATTTTCTCCTGTGTTTTCTTTCTAGGAGTTTTGTGTCTTACATTTAAGCCTATGACCCATTTTAAGTTAATTTTTGTGAAAGGTATAAGATCTGTGTCTAGATTCATTTTTTGCATCTGGATGTCCAGTTGTTTCAGCACCATTTGTTGAAAAGACATTCTTTGCCTCATCAAGATATCCTTGCTCCTTTGTCAAAGATCAATTGGCTGTATTTATGTGGGTCTATTTGTGGGCTTTCTATTGTGTTCTGTTGACTTGTTTGTCCATTCTTTTGCCATATGTCTTGGTCACTGTAGTTCTGCTGTACATCCTGAAGTTGGGTACTGTCATCTGCCAACTTTGTTCTTCTACTTCCATATTGTCTTGGCTATTCTAGGCCTTTTTGCCTTTCCATAAACTTTAGAATCAATTTGTTGATATCCACAAAACAACTTGCTGAGATTTTGATTGGCATTGCATTAAGTCAGTAGATCAAGTTGGAAAAAAACTGACATCTTATCACTGTTGAGTCGTCTTATCCATGAACATGGAAATCTCTCTATTTATTTTTGTCTTTGATTTCTTTCAGCAGAGGTTTTTAGTTTTCCTCATGTAGATCTTCAGTATATTTTGTTAGACTTATACCTAAGTATTTCATTTATTTTGGTGCTAATGTAAATGGTATTGTGCTTTTTAATTTCAAATTCCAGTCGTTCATTGCTGGTATATAGGAAAGCAATTGAGTTTTGTCTATTAACCCTGTATCCTGCAACCTTGTTATAATTGCTTATTAGTTCCAGTAATTTTTTGTCATTTCTTTGGGATTTTCTACATAGAAAACTATGTCATCTGTTAACACTGACAGTTTTATTTCTTCTGTCTCAATCTGTATACATTTTATGGCTTTTTTTTTTTTTTTTGTCCTGTTGCATGAGTTAGGACATCCTGTACCATGTAGAACAGCAGACTAATATGAGAAATGTTAGTCTATAGACTGACGTTAAAACTAAATGTTAGTCTTTCATGTAATGTCTTTGGTTTTGATATTAGGGTAATACTGTCCTCATAGAATGAGTTAGGAAGTATTCTCTCCGCTTCTGTTTTCTGGGAGAGATTGTAGAGGTTTGGTTTAATTTCTTCCATAAATGTTTGCTATAATTCACCAGTGAACTTATCTGGGCCTGGTGCTTTCTGTTTTGGAAGGTTATTAATTATTGATTCAATTTTTAAAATAGGTTTAGGCCCATTAAGATTGTCTATTTCTGGGCCGGCCCGGTGGCGCACTCGGTAGAGTGCGGCGCTTGTGAGTGCAGCGGGGCTCCCACCAAGGGTTTGGATCCCATATAGAGACCGGTCCGCTCACTGGCTGAGCGCGGTGCGGGCGCGACACCGAGGGTTGCGATCCTGTTACCGG